AGCATTTATCAAATTGATCTATACGAGGACGAAGACTGATATCGATGCTGCTGAGTGAATAAAACAAACTAAACAAACCCTTTGACATAATCCACTCAATTCATTATTAAACTCTCACAGATATCAAAGGAAACAAGCAAAGAAGCTCCAGAAGAAAACCCTAATACCTAAGAAGAAGATCTGGAAGCCGTACCCTAACACCTGACTAAACCACAACTTTTATAGCAAACAGATCCGCGATCTCCGCTCGAGGGCAAGAATGGCCGCTTGAGCAGAGTGACTAAAACGCATGAGACTAAACAAGGTTTACGCTCGAACACAGGAATGGTTGCTCGAGCAGAAAAAAACAACTCCCAGTACTTTTGCAGGCGAGTGAAACTTCTGAAAGGTCGTGACATAGTCAGCGAAGTGGCAAACATGATAGGATTAAGATCACAAACTCCTCTGCATAAGCACAATTCAGGTTGGAATCGCATCTAAATACTCACAGCCTCACTCAAATAAAAGATCAAATAAAATTACAATTGAAAAAAATTTTATGAAACAGGATTGCCAATTACAAAAACCTAACACCTTATTTTGCTCTCCTATATTACAATACATAAAGATAAAAATTCCACAAGAATAAATAAATAAGTAAATAAATAAATCATTTTTACTAGCAGAATTTCAACTTACTGAAAATTTTGACACCAAAAAATTTGGCAATACAATGTTGAGAAAATTGTCTGTCATGTAATACTGTGACAGTTTGAAGACCTAATTTGATTGTTAAATCACTTATGTCCTTTAGATGAATAACAACTTTGATAATCTCTTTCATTAGTTTCTTATATTAATCCGAATGGAGAGAATCAAAGAGTGAATCTCTATTTGACAATGTTTTCAAAAAATCTTCAATTGTAACTCCCCTTTGAGGTATGGCAACAAAATGCAATTCTTCCGTACACTCGTTGCCACTGTCCTCCTTGACTTGGAAAATTGGAAGAGGGGTGTATGTATGACTGTTCGGATGTTCCATGATTTTATTGTACAGTATTTCTACTTCAACCACTATATGAAAACGATTGAGCCGATATCTCTTTCCAACACCATCGATCTCAAATATAGTTAAAGCACCATCGTCAAGACTATCTTGTGGCTCTATTAAAAATGAAGTGGACTATTAAAAAAAATAAAAAACAAAACAAAAGAAGTAATGAGTTAACAAAAAAATAAAAAATAAAAAATTTTAAACTAACTTATAAGTTATTCTTTGTATGAAATATGTTATACCTATAGGGAACCGTAGGAGTTTGGACATTCTCTTTTTGCCAGCTACATGTCACGGCCTTGTTTATTTCCAAGTTATCCGTGTGGCACTTAGGCAATCACAAGTCTTGCTTGGTGATGCTAAGTCAGCCTAACCCACAAATTTGCAAGAAAGACAAGTGAGAAGACAGAGAGTTTGGGAGAATGTCTCTGTATTCACTTTAAAGGGACTTATACAACTCTTGGATTGATTGGAGCAAATGAGTCCCTTTCCTTTTTATAGGCTCTTTAGGAGCATTCTAGAACACACAAGAAAGTGTCATGTAGAAGCTTCCCATGGAAGCCTTCTTACAAACTACAAGAACATTCTACAATGTCTTCTAGAAATATCTATACAAATATCTACAAGTTTGATCTACAAATCACTCAAGCCACTGATTTTATTTCCAAACACTCAGGCCCATAATACTGTCCTTATTGCTTCCTAGCAGAAGTTTCATGTCCCAAAAAAAAAACAAAAAAGGAATTTCAATCTTCCAAGAATACAAGCCATGATTCCTTTTTATTTATTTTCTTTATTCCTAGAATACTACATTGAAGGCAAGCTTTCTCATAATGTGGCGGAGAATAAAGTCGAGCATGTTAACAAAAAAATGGCAATTCTAAAATTTTGTATGCTAGTACTCGAAACTTCATTTAATAATTTCGATTCAGTTGGGTTAGTGCCAGACCGAGAATCAAACAGGCCTTGTTGGTTATGGGAATTTTGGACACACCACCAAACGGAACAATGAATGGAACTCATTCCACCCAAAATGAAAAACTCAGGTTGCTTCATGTTGACCAACAGTTCTACTTGAATTAAATATTTAGTTGCCCACTAAAAAGTTTAGAAATCCCTAACCATAAAGTCCGCAAAATACGTGGTCAAACTCTTTGAAATTAAGTTTAAGAGACATCCAATAAATATATAGAAACAATATACTTGAGACTTCATCTAATAATTTATAATATGAATTTTAAGTCTCCACTTAAAATTTTAGTAGGGGTGAGCATGGGTTGGTTGGGTTGGGTTCAATTGGGTTAGTGCTAGACCCAAAACCAAATGAACCTAGTGAGTTATGGAAATTCCAAACCTAGAACCAAACCAATGAATGAACAGAATACAACTAACCAAAACTGAAAATCTTCAGGCTCCCATAGTTCTACTCGCATTTTATAACACTTCAATTGTCCACTAAAATTTTTGTAAATACTCAAACATAAAGTCAACAACACATGCTATGCAAATGATTTTTGTACATTGTTAAAGCCAAGGTAATCAAGACAAATCAAAAAAATTTATATCTATAATAAATATTATATTATATATACATGGGGTTAGTTCTCAAGTTGTTCCACATTACTTGAGCCCTAAACCAAGAACTGAAACGACAGCGTCAATCATGGGAATTTTTGGATCCAAAACCAAATGGAGAATTGTCCCATAACGAACAAGCCCAACTATGAAGACCTGATTGGTTCAGTTTGCAAGTTCATCTATTCATTTGCGCACCTCTACTTTTTGTAGTAGCTCAATAGCCTATTGTGCAATTTTATTTATCTTTTATTACCTTTAAAAGGCTTTACTAAGGCCTGCCTCAATGCTCGCCTCGAGGCGAGGCTAACGAAAAACGCCTCAAGGCTTTGATTCTTAGGCTTTACTCCCCAAAGGCTTGTGCACAGTCTGAGACATGCGTTTTAGGTGCGCCTTGTACGTCTTTTACGCATAAGAATGTGAGGAGTACACATATGAAGAGTTTGTCTTAGGGTCTTATTAAACTTACTCTAGTAGATGGTTTAAATATAAAAAATAAAAAAGAACCATTTTACAACTATATTTTATAGGAAAAATTAAGTATGACTAATCAAGAAAAAGCACAAAGTTAATGCTCAGTGAGAAGCTCAATCACCAAAACTAAGAATACCAATTTCACTTTTAATAAAGCAAAGCTTCATTCTCTGCAATGAGCCTTGAGCATAAAAGTATTTACACCTTTATATTTAATTTTGATGTATTTATTTTTTGTTTTAAAATATTTACTAAATATAAAAATTCAGAATTTGAAATGCTTACGCCTCAATACCTTAAGGCTTACGCCTCACCTCATGAGGGATAAAACGCCTCACATTACGCATTCACCTTTAAAAACTTTGCCTTTCTTAGATTAAATGTTAGGGATCATTTGCTAATTTTCAAAATTCACTTGACAGGGGCTATGGTTTTGGTCCATGGGTTGTATTGTATGCTAAGTTATGGTTTTATGGAGAATTTATATGATCTAGATTTTTTCAACAAGTCAAAGGACCTCAGTTTCTGTTTCTGAAGTTTCAGACCACGTGGAATTAGAACCCAACAACCTATATATGGGACATGCATGTCAATAAGTCTAATCAATAGAATTGATTTCCAAATTTTTTTGAGAAAATTTGGAACTTTGTATAATGTATGGCAACCTTGCTTCAGGTGCAGTTCTGAAGGAATAAACTCAGATAGAAACCTAAAATATTCTCCATCTTGTTCCTATGAATCCTTCTCCTTGCTCATGAAAGCCAGGCTATTTTTTAGGAGTTAAATCATCAAAGCTTTCAAAAAGGGCCCCTATTAAATGCTTAAAACACCAATAAAACAGAACTCTTTCCTATTGTCCTTATTGCTTCCTAGCAGAAGTTTCATGTCCCAAAAAAAAAACAAAAAAGGAATTTCAATCTTCCTCCCCGACCTTTTGACATTTTGAACGCAACCCCAAACACGTAAAATAGTACAAAATCCAACAAGCTCACAGTTTGAAATCAAACCAATTGTAGCATTGATTTTAACTCGGTAAGCCACCTAACTTTTCATTACTTAATCAGCCATAAACCCCAGCTGCGATGAGCATTTCTGTAAGTTTCCTAATCTTCCCTACATGAGTTTAGTACTAGGAAGCACAGGTGCGGGTGCGGGTGCGGGTGCGGGTACGATTGCGGATACGCCGATACGGAAAAACCCCAAAAAAATATGATACGGGTACGGCTGCGGTACGTCGATTTTTTTTTTATTTTTTTAATAATTATGGTTAAAGGATCCAACCTACAAATTAAAATTAAATATCAAAACTAAAGAGAAAAGAAGAATCGATCATATCCACCCACAACATCAAGCATTGCAAACAGATAACTTAACTTAACTCAAAACCAATGGTTATGCATCACAAATTAATGCTCTGTTTTTCAGTTACAAAACCCCCATCCCTCCCCCTCAAAATAAACGGCCACGAAAGAGAATTTAAGGTGTCAAGGGATTTTAATTTGTCGTCAAGCTTTACAACCAATATCATATTGCATATATATATGTACAGATCTTAGTTCAAAAATCTGGACATATATCAGAAGAAAAAAAGAAAAGAAAAAGGGCATATCTTAGTTCAACAAATCTGGACAGATTTTAGTTCAAAAATCTGGACATATATCAGAAAAAAAAAATAATACTAAGGACAGATCTTAGTTCAACAAATCTGGACATATATCAGAAAAAAAAAAAAGAAAAGAAGAGAGAGTTTAAGAAAAATGAAGAAGAAGATGAAGGATCAAAGAAAGAGAAAACCAAAGAGAAGAAGAATCGATCGTTTGCAGCGAAGAAACAGCACAAAAATCTGGGGAAAAAAAAATGAAAGAAAGAGGATAAAGAATCGAAGAAGAAAAGGGAAAAGACTCGAAGATGAATTTACCTCTTCAATCGCACCTTCGAAGGAGAGAATCAATCGGCAGTACCTTCGATTAAACCTTTCAATCGCACCTTCGAAGTGTTCTTCAAACTCTCTTGGGAGTATTTCTGGAAGGAGATGATCGAATAGACATGGAACCCTAGCACCTTCGAAGTTCTTCAGCCTTGGAGTATTTCGGAATGAGATCTGGAAGGAGCTGAGATGATTGAATGATAGAGCGAATAAAGAACCCTAATTTTATTTGGTTTCATTTTTTATTTATGTTTTATTTATTACAAAAAAACCTCAGATTTTTATAATTCTTTAAAATAGACATAAAAAACTGCTCCGGTACCTTTTAATTTATAAAAAAATCTCATTTTTTACCCCGGAGTACCCAAAACGTACCCTTGGCGTACCCGTGGTGTACCCATTAGTATACTAACCATATAAAACGTACCCGGTGCGTTTTTTGCGTACCTGGTACACGTGCAGCCATACCGGTACACGTACCCGCACCCGAGAAATACCCGGTACTTGTACCGCAACATTTTTGGAGTACCCGTGCTTCATAGGTTTAGTATTAGATCTAGTATTATAGTGATTCCAAAGCACTTGGTCCTCGTCAAAACCAAATTGTTTAACTTGAAATTACCAAAAAGAAGAAATCAATGCACTAAATTAGTTTCTAGTTAACAACGGCCTTGGCCTTGTGATTGTGCGGCACCACTTTGTAGTGTGAGGTTTTGAATTCAAATCTTATGGGGAAGAGTTTGACACTCTTTGTGGTTCCCCTTCCCTTAACAACTAACATCCAACCCCAATTGATGTATAAAAAAATAAAAATAATAAATAAATAATTGGATTCTATTTGTTTTTCAGCATCTTTATGATGGACATTCAGGAACCCTCCATGAGACTTAGCCAGTGAGAACACCACATGAGTGAAACAGTGTCAATTTGGCTCATCACATGAGTGTAACAATTGAACTTTGGGCCGCATATTGCTTAAAGCAAAAACAAGGTTGACCTTACAGCAGTAATACTTTTTATTTACTTAAACGTTTAAGACCAAGAACAAGAGAAAAAGTTTCTGCTATTCTGTTCACTAGGAATTTTTAATTAAACCACCCACTTGTAATTATAGTGTTCAACAGGCTAGCCACTAGAACAATTGTACCAAGGAATGGGAAAACAAATCCTAGCCAATGGGTCGGGCCACGAAAATGGATTGGATCCAAAAAAAGATACTCATAAAATGGTCAGCTAAAAATGGTTCTTGGCAGAGATAAGTAATTAAACTGATCAAAATGGGTCCATGTGCCCGACCAGTGCACAGCTAAATCTGTCCAAGTATAACTTGTTTGCTAATTGGGCAGGTTCAGGGTTAATCCATTTAACCACAAGACCCATCTTCACCTGACCCAATCCAACCCATCCATATGTCACCCTTTACCTAAAAGGCTTTGAGCAGACATATATGTAATAATACAAAATTACTTTGTCTTTCTTTCTTAACCTCGTCTAATGTACAGTAATAAAAGTAAAGTTTAACCCAAATCTTTTACTCTCAACTAATCGGTGCTTACGTGCCATTCTAAATACTTACATTTTCAAAATGCCACATCATGAGAGTATACAAAGATTGGCCCCCTCTTTTCACAGTTTTATGAGTAAATCAACTCTTTCTATATCTTAAGAATTTTTATCTAGAAAGAACCATGTTTGTGTTAAATTACTATGTACTTTTGTAACATTTTTATAACAAATATAAGATATCAATAAAAAGTGGGCTCTAATTGCGTAAAATAAAATTTACAATCATTGAATTGTTTATCTCCTGCATGTACAATGACCATAAATATTATTGTCAGTTTTTAAAATTGGAAAAATAATAAGGATTGGCATGTATTTTAAAATTTTAAATTAACATAACAGCACTTAACCTAACGATATTTAATTTAAACATTGTAAAATAAGAAAATAACTCTTACTGGTGAAACAAATTAGGATAGACAAGAATTTTAAGAAATTATGTTAACTTACCACGACTTAACCTAATGAGGTTTAATATTGTTAATTTTTAAATAAAAAAGGAATAAATAAACATAACGATCATGAGTACATAATAGTAATAAGCCTACATAACAAAGAATGAAAGGTTTAACATCAAAGGTAATAAACCATCAAAATAATTTATACATATGAACATCCACAGTGGGCTGCCAATGGAGCTGGCATTGCCAAATTTTGGCAACAATTGGCAAAAAGCTATATTGGCTGCCAAATTATGGCAATGCCAAAGTTTGTGCCAAATTTTAAGCAATTCTCCATCATCAGAGAGAAGATTTCAAAAAAATAAATACCTCGATTTGAAGACGCGTGATGGATTTCAGACGATTTCAGCAATCTCAAGCTTTTGCCTTGTTCATCTTCTTCATCTGCTTGCTTTGTCTTAGGGTTTGTTTGTACTTCGTCTTCATCTTCTCCATCTGAATGACGATTTGAAGGAGTCGATTTAAATGGTTTTGGGTTTGTCAGATGGATCGAATATAGAGAGATCCAAAGGGTTTAGGGTTTAGAGAGAGATAAAACAGAGGGAAGAGAGAGGCAGGGAGGATCTGTGGAGACAGAGATGGAGGGATCTGCGCGAGAGAGATAGACTGACGCATGGATGACCGGGTGGAGATAGAGATGGACAAAGGAAAGGTGAAGATAACAAAGAGAGAGGTCGAAAGAGAGAAGAGAGGAGAAGGATCTAAGGAGCAAAATTGGCTACATCATATCACATTTAAGAAGAGCAGCTTGCCTAAATTTTACCCAAAAATATTATTAAAAAATTTATTTCCTACTTTAATAATTATTATTATTAAAAAATTTATTTCTTATTTTAAGAATTATTTTTTTATCTACTTCTCTCAACAGACTCCCTATTTTATTAACAAACTCCCTATTTTTTTCTTTATTTTATTAAAATATAATTTTTTAATAATAAAATAATATGCGAATTACACTAATAGTCCCTATAGTTTGGGACTTGTGTTATTTTGGTCCCTAACTTTTCAATTATGACACATTTGATCCTAAATTTTGAATCTTATTCCAAATAACGACAATTGAAGATATCATTAGATTTTTCAAGGAAAAAATTGTCAATTTGATAAAATATAAACTAATTTGACAAAAATAAATATCAAACAAATATTTTTGAATTTTTAAAAATTATTTATACCCACTAAAAATAAAATTATGTAAAATTGATAAATCTTTTAGACATTTATTTTTTTTTTACCAAATTAATTTTTATTATGTGTTTGGATAATGATTATATAAAATTAATTTTAAAAAATTAATTATGTAATTTTTATCAATTTTACATAATTTTTTCATTGGTAGATAAAAATAACTTTTAAAAAATTAAAAATATTTTTTTGACATTTATTTTTGTCAAATTAGCTTCTATTTTATTAAATTGACTATTTTGCCCTTGAAATTAAATAATGTTATCTTCAATTGTCCTTATTTGAAACAAGATTGAAAATTCAAGGACAAATATGTCACAATTGAAAAGTCAGGGACCAAAGTGACACGAATCTCAAACTATAGGGACTATTTGTGTAATTTGCCCTAAAATAATTAAACAATATCATTTGAAGTCAAAAATGGAGGCTTTATAGCACTGCCTTTAAAGTCAATCAATTACAGAAGAAAGCAGCAAAAGCAAAGGCAAGGGCCAGACGTCCAAGAGGTTGACCAGCCAAACGTTCGGGTGGACAACCGGTTAGGTCATTTTTGAGTATTTTTCTTCTTTAGCTACAGGGCACTCACGGATATCCGGACAGATGTCCGAGGAGACGTCCAGAGAGACATCTACGGGACTTCTCCTCAAGCCTTCAACGAAATAAAATAAGAATTTATCAGATATAAGGGAACTACAGTGACTCCTTACAAATAAGAAGTCACTGTAGCAATCCTATATATAAGGGATGGTATAAGGGATCTGTTGGAGAATAATTTCTGAAGAATTAGCTATTATAAGGGAACTGATAGAGATGCTCTGACCCCCCAATCAAAATTCAATAATAGCTTTTGGAGGATTCATAAGTTTTTTCTTTTTTTCTTTTTTTCTTTTTTTCTTGGTACATTGGAAAATTTAAAACAGACGAAACATGCAAACAAAAAAAAAAAGAAAAGAGAAACTAAGAACCACTAGCCCCTTTCTAAGGTAGCTTTGTCCAATCAAATCAGCCATAACTTGGTTGCGGATCCCATTTGGGGGTCTTCTATGACAATCAGCGATTTATCTTGATATATGCCCAGCTTAGCCAAACCATTGGCACTCATGTTGCCCTCTCTTAAGGCATGTTGAATTGTGTAGCTGCATCTTTAGATGAGGAACTTAGAGTCTTCCACCAAACTTCGAAGAGAAGAAATAACCTTAACTTTCTCCTTCTGCAAGTCAATGGCTTCCACAAAATCGGTCTCAATGATCAGATTCTTGTAGTCCTTCTCAAAAGCAATTGTCAAACCTCGTTAAATGGCCTAGATTCTTGCCTCAATGCTTGAATAGTTGGTAAGTTTTCTGTTGAAGCCGCAAAGCCAAATTCCTTTCTCATTGCAGATCAGCCCTCAAATAGCCATCGCTTGGGTCACCTCCCGAGCTGCCATCCATGTTCATCTTCAATTTTCCTGCAAATGAAGGAGTCCACAAAACCAGCAAATTAGTTGAAGGATAAACAATAGAGCATTTAAAAACATCTTTTATTTCAAAAGCAAATCTTTGGATGTTATAAATATTATGTTATCAAGGAGTAAATTTGTTTTCAAAAATTAAAAGATTTCAGTTTTTCCAGATTTGCACAAAGTAGCAACAAAAAGGGTAGGGCCAATAACCGGTGAAAACTTAGACTTCAAAATGGATTCTATGGAAGGTAGAAATTTTCTCCACAGAGAAAGTAAGATGAAGTGCTCCTTCCTTTACTCTGAAAACAGAAACCAACTTGTTAGTGATCACTCCCAACCAGGGATAGTAAGGAGGACCCTCCAACGGTCAAGTCAGAATGGTGACCAGTCATATTGTATTTTGTTGAGAAGAAAGACTTGTTTTTTTTACCCCCTTTGCTTTTCTTATTCCTCCTTTTATAGTGCTATCGTCTTGGGCTTCAACCATTGGATGATCATCGTAATCCGAGGGCTGTGCTTAATACCAGACTTTGGTCAAGCAAGTGGCCAGGTTGTTTTGATCCTTTATCGCTGGATCACCTTGAGGTGGGCGACTTAGATCAGTTTAGATGTCTGTGGCCAACTTGCCAATTATTCGCCTGTTGGATTTATATCATCGGATAGTTATGTCGTTTCGGTAGGCTAAGCCTATGCCCCTAGCTCTAACAATTGTGGTTCTCACCGTTGATTATAAATGGATCGAAGTGCATCCCTGCATTCTGCAGATCTCCTTCTGAAAGGCGATTTTACTTAAGCTTTGGTCACGTAACACTGTCTCTTCATTTATGGACCTAGTGATGATTTGGGCTTTTCTCTTGATCTGTCCTACTTGGCTAGGCTTGGGTTTTGGGCCAATGTTTTTACCCCTGGGCTTTGGGTCAATGTTTTCACCTCTCAACAATTGCCCCTTTTCGGGGATCCTTTGTAGCGAATTGCCAAAGACATCGTGGCCGATCTAGTCGGAATCCGAGTCGATACCCCTGCCTATGACACGCATCTTTTTGAGTAGTTTTAAATTAAATGATGAAGCCCATTACTTCGCCGTTCAGTGCGCCATTTCGCTTCTGACATATTAATTGAGGGGTTGTCTCTTGCTTTTCACCTCTTTGTTCATCGTCTTCTCAAAACCATATACGCATTCCTCTGTCCTTCGCCTGAAGTTTTAGTCTATAATCCTTGTAAGTTTTTTCTCTTGTTTGCTTATTGTGATTTTGACTTTCTTTTTGCTTTTTCTTCTGCTGGTTTCTTTTATTTTCACCATGAATTGCCTGAGATATTTCTTGGAGTGCGAGGAAAGTATTACAGAGTTTAGAACTCTATATAACATTCTTGATGATGTTGTCGTCCGTCTCCTTATTCTGGTGATAGTATCTCGGAGGGATCTAAGGAACGAATTCCTCTCCCTTTGATAAACATAGTCAAGGGAGGAGTTCAATTCCCCCTACATCCTCTTCTCAGAGAGGTGTTTCATTTTTATGAGATACCTCCTTCCTAACTTTTCCCCAAATTTTTCAGAATAGTTATGGGCGTGGTTGCCTTGAACGATATCTTAGGGATCAATCTAGGCCTTTTGGAGATTAGATATTGTTATAATTTTGTCCTTACTTCCAAAAAAAGGTCGAAGTTTTACTTCAAGCCCAAATCAGCGAAGTGTCAACTTGTTCAGATGCTTCCTAACTCTGGCAAGGATGGCAACAATTTGTTTGTAATAATAGAGGGGAATTGGGAATTTAGTCCTAGTGCTAATCGAATTCGACATATTTTCAAGGTCATTGGCTGACCAAGTTATCCTCTATCTTTCTACTTGCCTGTGATGTCGTCCTTTATGATTGCAGTTTGTTAATGCTTTCTTGTCATTTTTTGCAGCTCCTAAGGTCTTTTCTAATCCTAGCGAGTGGAAAGATCAAGTGAACCTCACTCTTCTACAACAAGCTTGGTCCTACAAAGGGCCACCAGAATAGTAAGGCCAAGGTCAAGTTGCCCACGTGCTGCTTTCCTACATCCCTTACTATGGTACCATGATCGTGACTGACGGTATAGATCTTAGTGCTGACAGTGGCTTTGATTTTTATATTCTTCCTCATCTTCGGGAGAACATCGAGGAAGTAGCACCTGAACAAGAACAACCTCAAGAGAGTCATCTAGTTTGGAGGCTACTATTTCAGACATCATGCCATGCCACTAAAGAATTTTTTGGAGATTGTTGTCGCTAGAAAGCGTCAAAGGGCTGCTGAGTCACCCTCAGCCTCCCAAGCTATTTCTGATCCTCCTGCATCTGATCGGCCCTAATGATCACCAATTGTAGTGGTAGATGATTCATTTTCTTCTCCTATCATGGCAACTGTTGAGAACGTTGCCCCCGACCTTTGGCCAGAGATCGGGTAAGTGTCCTCATAACCAATCAGTAGAGGTCTGAAAGAAAAGTTGATTAGATTCTTCCACTACTGCTGCGTCGTCTCCAACCTCTGCCTTAAAGATAGCGGTCGTCGAATCCCCAATCATCTCCATGCCCCCCTTAAAGGATCGACAGATAACCAATGCTAATACGGCTATAGCCAGTGCTGAAGTGGCCCCTACAATTATCCGCAGCTCTGTCATTCCTGCAGATGTTGTTGGTTTGGCCGAACAATTAGATGTAGCTGTCTTCTTGCAGGCCTTACACTTTTCTTTAGTGGTAAGTGCTTATCACCCTGCAATTATAGTTAGGAAGTTATAGTTACTTCATGTGAATATCACTAAATATATTTTGGGATTAATCTTCTATGAACATGTTAAGTCAATCACAAGTTGTCAACATCTAAATGCAATGAAAATATAGTTCCAAAAAACTTTTGTTTAAATTGCTAATGAACTAGGCATTTTTACAAACATCTTAAATGCAATCAAAATTCAAATGACATAATTGGCCCTATAATTTTAATGCCAAAATTTCTCATGAAATATATTGCAACAATTCAAAAACAAGTCATGGAAGCAACAACATGGTTACAAAATACTATATTAATTAATGTAAAAATGGATTATTTCATTAAGAATGTCAACCAAGATATATAAATAGCAAAATAGAACAAAATCCTATCCA